AAAAAAAATATATATATATATGTATGTGTATACATATACATACACACACACATATATATATGTGTGTGTGTGTATATATATATATTCTAGAATCTTGGTGCTAGAGAGATGGCTCAGCAGTTAAGAGCATTGGCTACTTTTCCAGAGGCTCAATTTCCAGCATCCACATGGCAGCTCACAACCATCTCTAACTCCAGTCCACTTGGGGATCCAACACCCTGTTCTGGCCTCTGCAGCACCAAGCATGCATGTGGTATACAGACATACAGGCAGGCAAAATCCTCATACACATAAAAAGAAAAAATAATAAAATAAAGCGTGCCCTAGAATCTTACCATGGGATTCTGTTTCCTTCATAATTTCATCAGGATGTTCATCTAAGAAGAAATCTGGTAACAAGGGATGGCCTGAAAAATTAACCACCAAATAATATTATAATAATTATGTACTAATTATTATACTATATTACATACAAACTTAACAATTTTAATAAAATGTATATCCTTTTTAAAAAATCCTTTTGTGTCACTGGAAAGGGCCCACAGGTAACTTGAACTATTTGATCTAATTTATTATTCTTTTCTGTAACTTAGTTATCCTCTTCCACTATGACAAACTTCATCTTAAAATCTAATTTATTTATTTTTTTGCTTTGTTTTTCATGACAGGGTTTCTTGGTTGTCCTAATACTAGTTCTGTAAACCAGACTGGCCTTAAACTCAGAGAGATCCCTCTTTCTCTACCTCCCAAGTGCTAGGATTAAAAGCGTGTGCCACCAGTGCCTGGCTGAGATCTAATTTTTTGTTTCATTTTATTTTCTGACAAAGTCTTACTAGCTCTGGCTAACCTAGAACCAGGAAACTTGCAGCAATCCTCCTGCCTCTATCTCCCACCCACTGGAATTATATGTGACTAATGCCAGGTATGTATTTGTATGCAGGGATATAAAAGTGTGCGTGTCTACATGTATGTGTGGTTCTGCATACCCATGTCTCTCTCTCTCTCTGTGCATGTGTGTATGTGTGTGTGCAAGCACACGCGTGCGTGTGTGTGTGTGTGTGTGTGTGTGTGTGTGTGTGTGTGTAGAGGTCCTCCTCAGTCACTTTCCACCTTATTTTTTACAGCCTCTCATTGAATCTGGAGCTCACTGATTCAGTTAGACCAATGGCCCAACAAATCTGTCTCCTGTCTCCCAGCTCTGAGATCAGAAGGTGCAAAACACACTCATCAGCCTTTTACTACAAGGCTACAGTCCCCTAATTTTTGACTTGATCCAAATTCAAGTCCTCATGTTTCCACAGAAAGCAATTGACACACTCGACCATTTTCTCAGATGCCTGAAGGTCTTTTTCTTTTCTTTTGTTTTTCTCGTTTTTGAGACACAGTCTCACTATGTAGGCCAGGCTAGCCTTGAATTCACTGTTTCCCAAATGCTGGAATTAAAGGCATGTACCACCATATTCATTATCATAGTCATCTGTAATTTCAAAAGAAGAGATTTTAAAGAGTGGGAGGTTCTGGAAATCTCAAATTAGACAACTCTGTAAGGCAGACTTGCTCCTTCATCCTCATGGTCTACGAGGCTGTGCTTAACAGCAAACATTTTAAAACGGGTGGATTTTTGTTTGTTTGTTTGTTTGTTTGAGAAAAAGGAGAATAAAGAACTCTACTCCTGAGTCATGTGTCAGACATGTCTGACTCTTTACTCGGATTTCTAAGACTAACTTCAAAATGCTCAATTTCCTAATTTGGAAGCGGATAACTGAAACAAAGCTTCTGCATCCTCCTGCAACTCCAAGAGCTCTCACCTCACTTCTACTTGTTCAGCACCTTCTAGGGTGGAGGTGGTGGGGAGGTTTCCCTTCAGTGGAAGACAGCTTCTAACATAATGTACTCATTTTATAACCACACAAACACACACGAAACATGTCTGTTGATTGCATAAAATGTGGGAAGACATTATTACTTTAAACAGCCATAAGCCTTACCCGGTTTAATTGCATAGACATCAAAATCATTTATTCCTTCTTCTTTTAAGATATTTTCATCAATAATAAAGTTGCCAGTAAAACTTTTTGGCCTTTTGAAAATGGAGTACGCAGCATCTGCAATGATGTCGACTTTTCTACACTGGCTTTCCACGCCAGACCCTCCAAGCATATCCATAGCAGCGGTGTGTATGGCTGTGGAGCAAACATGGACGCACATGACTCCATGTCAAAGAAGACTATGGAATAACAGGACGGTACTCTACTCAAAATTGCCAAGGCAAATTTCTTTCTCGGATGATGAAAAATAAGGCCATGATAAGGAATTCGTTAACATTCTATAGAGAGAACCAGGAAGACAAAGAAACAAACATATGCCTTCCTCAACACAGAACCAAGGAGACAAACAGCAGATACGCCCGTTACTCAATGCAGACTGCACCTGCAGAAATCCTTCATGAGAAGCACAGCAAACCTCCTTAGAGTTCTCATTTAGAATGTTCAAGAATTTGTACCGCAGTCTTGGGAGAAGACTAACAAAAACAGCACTGAGCTGGGAGTTGGGCGAGTGGGGTTTATACCGACTGGGCCAAGATTTTTTGGCAAGCTACTATGACCCTTTGGATCTGAACTTCCTTTCTCTAAAATATGAAGCTCTCTTCCCAATGTTTTCGTCTCTGCTCCTTGCATTAGAAAACACATATTTCTTAATTGTTACTGTACCACCAGGAATGACAAGGCTGGAGGTGACCCTCTCCTCTCTGCTGCCATAACCAAATCAGCAGCTACAGGGCCACCCCCGCCTGCATAAAATCTGCTCCAAAGTGGACTGTCCTGTTTCCACCATTCAGATCCAGACCTGCCAAAAGTTAAGAGGCAGCCACTCCCTCTACTCAGCAGAAACGGTAAAGATCTTGTAAAAAAAAAAAAATCACAATTGCAAACAACCTAGCTGAGAGCCCGAGCTCCTCCTCTGGCCCCTATCCCTTCTCTGTACATGCTAAATTCATCAGAAGCAAAGTCTATAGCCAAGAGGGCACAGCTGCCAGTGTGGAGAAGCAATGCTGAGCCCAGCCAAGGCCAGCAGACAGCTGGGACACCGCTGTTATAATAATATGTTTCCTGGAGTCCATCCCACTAAGTAGGATGAATCCCCGTCTCCTTGAAAGGCAGTCAGGGGAGATTCCTGATGACTCTACACAAGAGGGAATGTGTTCTTAAACACAAGACACCTCACCTCCAGCCTGGAGCACAGCTACTCTCTTGAATCACTTTCATTTGCCTTCCCTCATGAATAATGCAGTAGTCTAGCTAACCGGCAGGCTCCTCTCTCTAATTCACCCACCATGTCAGACTAAATGTCTACATAAACACCAGGTGACTTTACTGCTCCTACCCCCACCCCCACCCCCACCCCCACCCCCACCCCCACCCCCGCTTATTACCACTCTCCTTTTAAAATCTTTCCAATAGCTCTCTACTGAATCACTTGAAACTGAAGCTGCCAGGCTAGGGAAGGAACTCTAATAGTACTTGCCTAGGATGTGTAAGGCCTGTGTTTAATCCTCTGTGCCAAGAAGGAAAAAAATCAGGTGGCTTAAGTTGACACGACAGACCAAAGTCTAGTTCCCCCATTCCCACCTGCTCTACCCAGCATTCCAGTGAACCTGGCGCACTGCAGATGCTCGAGTGCGCGAATGCTGTGGGAAATGACAGCCCGCACCCATTAAGCACCTCCTCAATCTCCGGCAGTCCACTATGCACACAGGTTTCCCATGTTGCACATGATTGTCTGTTGTTTCTACTGTCCATGAATATCTTGCCTAGTTTCCTTCCTGCTGACCCCAACATCCCCTGGAGACCATACTTTAATTTATACCTCCATCTGAAACTCTTTAACTCTTTAACATGGGCTGCAAGGCCTCCTTCTGTGTTTCAAAAGTGCTCTCAATGTGACTACTGTATCAGTCATCATGAAGAACACAGCTGTAAATTCAGTGGTGTCAAGGGCCTAATGCCACCAGTGGCTCCAAAGTGTCTAGTAAACCACCTAAAACAAATACCTCAGAGCTAGCAAAGACCTCAGCAAATCCTTTCAGTCCTGATAATACCCTCCATCCTTCCTCCATCCTTCCTCCATCCTTCCTCCATCCTTCCTCCATCCTTCCTCCATCCTTCCTCCATCCTTCCTCCATCCTTCCTCCATCCTTCCTGTTATACAATGTCTACCTATTACACAAGCTCTGTTCAGAAGGACCAGTTTAGAGCTAGCAGAAGGCAGGCATACTGCACACTCTCTCATCCACTTACTACTTATCAACACTCACTGAAATCTGGGGCTAGAGAGAGGGCTCAGTGGTAAACTGTACTGGCTGCTCTTCCTGAGGTCCTGAGTTCAATTCCCACCATTCACATGGCAGCCGACAACCATCTAGAACTGTAGTCTACTGGGATCCAACGCCCTCATCTGGTGTGCCGATGTACATGCAGGCAAAGCATTCATATCATAAAATACAGATTTTTAAATCTACATTCTGTCACATGACTTGTTACCTCATCTCCATATTATCCATCCTGCTTCCCCCATATCTGGTGGGTAGATCTGTCTTCTTCCCAGAGTTCTCGCTCTGCCCAGAAATCCCACCTAAAACTCTTGCCTAGCTATTGGCCATTCAACTTTTTATTACTCCAGTCTCAGTAATACATCTTCACACAGTGTGCAAATATACTGTAGTCATTGTAGGTTTCAGTGAGTTTTTTAAGGTCTTCTCACTGTTCCTGGATCCTGACAACAGGCATTTCCATCCACAGGATTTTTGCATTGGCTGCATCCTTAAACACTTTTCTCTTAGCCACAAGGCTCGCTTCAATCACTTCCGAATCTTTGCTCAAAATCCACATTCTCAAAAAAGTGAAACTTTTTGAAGTATTAGGAGGTAAAACCCGGCTGGGTGCCTCCCAGCACTTATAGGCAGAGGCGGATAGATCTCTGTGATTTGAAGGCCAGCCTGGTCTACATCGTGAATTGTAGGAAAGCCAAAGCTATATGAAAGAGAGACTCTGTCTCAAAAAAGTAAAATAAATAAATAAATAAGTTAAAACCTTCTCTCTTCAGTGCCAGAGACTGCTAATTTTACTGTATTTTTTACAAACATTATTACCTTCTGGCATACTGTAAAGTCTCATGCTCAAGTGAGTCTTCTGCCACCATCTCCAGCGTATCTGGACAATCGCCAGGTATATATGCCTAACTGCAACTACCACTTTTTCAATTAGTCTTTCAACCTGAAAAAATCTAAGAGAATTTGCTGAAACCATTCCTGTTGGCTTCCATGATACATTCTGTATGTTCTAGCGTTATGCTCCCATCATAGCTGCTGGCTAAAGAGTCAGCCACTTAGTCCAAGTTAAAGACTGTCAGCTGCACAGCGAACATCAAGATTCAGGTGACCTGAGATGTTTCACAGAATGTCAAGGATTTGGCTGAAAAAATCGCTCACTGGTAGAGTGTTCACTAAAGTGAGACAGTGGGTTTGAGCCTGGTGTGGAGGAGAGGTAAAAATCAAATTAAGGGATTTCTTTTAAGTACAAACCTGTTTTAGGCCATAAGGCATTGACTGCAATTTCACCTCTAAATTCTTCTGCCATCCCAAGCACACACATAGACATGCCATATTTGGCAATGGTATAAGCTGAAAGAAACCACAAAGAATAATAATATAATTAAGAAACTAATCTTTGAGTGGAAACACCCAACTTTCTGCTGCTATTTTCTCCCCAGGAAAATTTTTGACAATTCTTTTCAAATTACAAAATACATAAGATAATTCTTTATGTAGACAAGAATGACTCTAAACTCCTGATTCTCCTACCTCAGCATCCCAAGTACTGGGAGTATAGTTTACACATTGACCAAATATGCTGAGGTTGTTCGTTTGTTTTTAAAGACTTTATTGTTGTTAACTATGCATACATCTGTGTGTACGTATGTGCCAATGAGAGCCTGAGGAGACCGGAGTTGTCAGATGCCCCTGGGCTGGCATCACAGGCAGTTGTAGGCTGCCTAATGTGAGTGCCTGATCTACAGAGCAAGTTCCCGAACAGCCAGAGCTACATACTAAGATCCTATCTCAAAAACAAAGCAAACAATGAAGGTGATTATTTACAGAGAAAGCTTCACTCACAACTCAACAATACAGATATGGTGGTGTAGCTTAGCAGTAGAATATGTGATTAGCATTTGTGAAGCCTGGATTTCAACTCCAGCACCATAAAATGAAAAGCAATCAGGGTGTGTAGCAATCAGCAGCTAAGTGCATACTGTTCTTGCGCAAGACCGGAGTCCTCATGTGAGCACCATGTCAGGCAGCTCACAAGTGCCTGTAACTCCAGCTCCAGGGGACCTGATGTCTTCCTGGCCACTAAGGGCATCTGCACTCATATTCACATACTCACACAGAGATACACACTCACATCATTTAAAAAATAAAGGCTTCCGATTTACTTAACTTCATCAACCAGTGTATAACTTTAGTCTTGCTCTGCGGGTTCCTACCCCAGAGCCTTCCTAAATAAGAATAAAATATAAGAATAAGAACTAAATATATGATATTACTTTAAGGGAGGTGCAACACAGAGAAACTCTATCTGGCGAAACAGAAAGAAATAAAGAAAGAAATAAAGGAAGGAAGGAAGGAAGGAAGGAAGGAAGGAAGGAAGGAAGGAAGGAAGGAAGGGAGAAAGAATTTACTATCTTGATCACTGACATTCAATATTAAGCATCATGTCCAGACTATGCTTACATGATTAATACACTGATTAATTCCAAACAAATTAGCCAAACAAACTATCCCCTCAGCTAACACTTACCACAGTGCTGTTTGAACCACAGAGGATTTAGGTTCAGGGGTGGGCTGAGATTGAGAATATGAGCTACTTTGCTCTTTCTTAAAAAAGGAATACACGCTTTGGATCTGAAAATGAAAGAAAACACAAGTTAATAGCTTACGTTTAAAAGTACTTCACAGAGCAGCTGAATTCGCTCAGTGATCTGTCTAGTGCATCTTGTTGGTAGAGTACTTTTTTCCTAGAAAGAAGATAATAAGTGGAACTGGTTTTCATGCTTTGAAACCAATGTTTCATGCCCTGACCACATGATCTGCTTGATGGAAAAAAAAAATCATATCCTTTCTCTATTAGCTTTATGCTCAACTGAGGATATCTTCAACCACAGCTTCTCCCAAATTCTCCCACCCAAACACACACAATTTACAGACACAGTTAATATACCTGTCAGATAGTCATAGGTTCAAATCCTGCTTCTTCCCCCTTTGTATGTCTCTGGGTAAATCTCCATTCTAGTTCTTAGAGCGTTACTACACAGTGGTAATGCCCACTACCATCTAGGACTGATTAAAGGATTCAAAGGAGACACTTAAGACAGTGCATGTGCTCAACATGAAAGAAAAAGTCACTGTGAGTGGCGTCACATATCTTTAGTGTATTTCACAGGTACAAAATGCAATATGGAGTTTACAGGTTTGGTTCTGATTACTGTTTTATCTTCTTTAGGCAGAGTCTTAAGTCTTACATAGGTTAAGCTGACCTAGAATTCATTATGCAGACCAGTAGAGCCTTGAACACAAAACAATTCCACTGCATCTGCCTCCTGGGTGTTGAGACTATAGGTATGTACCCCTATAAGGGTTCGTTTTACTTTCAACTGTTTGTTGAAATACATTATTTATTTTCTAAAAGATTTATATTTGGGCTGGAGAGATGGCTCAGAGGTTAAGAGCACTGACTGCTCTTCCAGAGGTCCTGAGTTCAATTCCCAGCAACCACATGGTGGCTCACAACCATCTGTAATGAGATCTGGTGCCCTCTTCTGGTGAGTAAGCATACAGACAGATAGAATACTACACATAATAAATAAATAAATAAATAAATAAATAAATAAATAAATAAAGTCTTTTAAAAAAATTTATATTCAATATTTTTATAATTTTAAGTATTAAAGTTATAACATCATATAGCTAAACAACATACTGTAGCTCAGTTATAACCTTCTTTCATATTCAAGAACATCTAAGGACATCAAACATGGCAGTACATGACTATAATCTCAGCATTCAAGAAGCTGAGGCAGGATGGCAAGTTCCAGGTCAGCCTGAGCTGCATAGCAGACCCGGTCTGAAAAGTACAAGAGGAATTCTTGAAGTTGGAGCCACAGTTCAGCTGTAGAGCATATGTCTATGATATATAAGGCATACAGGTCAAGCCCCAACACTGAAATAAAAAAGGGAGTGAGAGCGGATTGTTAAATAAATGGCCCTTCATTTACATCAGTTTTTTTAACTGTGATTATTTCCAAACACAAAATTGTTACCAATTCCCACATTTTTCCCCTTTCAGCTTTCTGAGACAGCATTTCTCTTGTGTAGCCCTCGCTGTTTTGGAAGTCATTCTGAAGAACAGGCTGCCTTGAACTCAAGAGATATCTCTGTCTGCCAAGTGCTAGAATTAAAGGCGTGCACCACCATTGCTCAGTCACTGCAGTTTAGACACCAAATACAATCAATGCTACTACAGATTAGAGGTATTGATTATATTTGTAGTGGTTTTGATAGTAACCCTAACCTTAACCCTAACCAAAAAAACTGTTTTTCATTCCTAAAAGTATTTCATTTTTAAAATATTTTTCATTTATTTATTTATTTATTATGTATACAGTGTTCTGTCTGCATGTATGCCTGCAGGCCAGAAGAGGACACCAGAACTCATTACAGATGGCTGTGAGCCACCATGTGGCTGGTGGGAATTGAACTCAGGACCTCTGGAAGAACAACCAGTGCTCTTAACCCCTGAGCCATCTCTCCAGCCCAGTGTTTCACTTTCATAGAGTTGAAATGAGGACAGGAAAACAATATTATAACTGATTTTCATTAAAACTAAAATTGTACCTCAACCAATCAATAGGGAAAAACTGAGTCCATTCTAATAAGACCATACTTTGCAATCAGAGGAGGGATTCGTCTTGTTTACATCAAACGCACTGGCTTTCCTGTTATCCAGCTGCAATTTGCTAGCCAGTAGGGCCACTAACGTTACAAATCCACATCACACTCTTCATAACAACAAGCTCTGTCTTATACATCAAATTGAAGACTCTCAGCACTTAGACACTGTGCTGGCCGGGTTCTTGTCAACCTAACACAAGCTAAGGTCACCTGAGAGGAGGGAGCCTAGATTAAGAAAATGCCCCAATAAGATCAGGCTGTAACTAATTAGTGATCAATATGGGAGGGCCTGGCCTATTGTGCGTGGTCTTGGTTTTATAAGAAAACAGACTGAGCAAGCCAGAGTGAGAAAGCCAGTAAGCAGCAGCCCTTCATACCCTCTGCATCACTTCCTGCCTCCAGATTCCTGCCCTGTTAGAGTTCTAGCCCTGACTTCCTTCAATGATGGACTTCAATGTAGAAGTGTACGCCAATTCAACTCTTTGCTCGCCAACTTGTTTTTGGTCATCACAGCAATAGAAACCCTAAGACAGATACTAATATCATTAGCTTAATCATATGCCAACTAGATTTTAAGCTGTACTGCTGTCTGGTCCCATCTGTTTATATGTAAGTTCTCTGAGAACACAATAGGACATCCTGACCCACATCCTTGTTTCTGACTCACGTGAGGTAGGTTCCCCTGGTGTTCACATTCATCATCAAGTCCACTCTCTTTGTAGGAGTATCCAACGTGTTGGTCAAGCTGATAGCACTCGCATTGTTCACCAAAATATCAATTCCTGTGTCCAAAGAAATCAGTTCCATATTGATGCAAGTCAGCGCTTCTCTCTCTCTCTCTCTCATACACACAAAACATTTCCTCTATGGTTTATCCCTCAGCTGATTCAAAAATATAAACATACATACATATACATAGGTCTATAAATACACACATACATAATTAGACTATATGACTGACCAATATACCAATGCCAGATCCGGCAAATCTTTCTAAACTTATTTTCGCTGGCACACTGGAGAGTCAGCCAATGACCAGCTCTATGAAAAACTGCAAGGAGGTTTAGTGTTTACAAGCTGTAGCCTCAACCCTTGAGTATCAGTCTTCTCTCACTGGCTCCAGGAACCTTAGGTCAAACCCTCTCTAGTCCTCCCTGACCTATGACCTTTCCGAGAAAGGCGGTGGTTACATCTCTATTTCATCAGTGTTCAGGAATGATTTCAGGATCAAGGGACTACCTCCAAATCTCTCGACAGCTCTTTCCACCGCACTGGTGATTTGCTCTTCATCTCTCACATCGACAACACACGGCAAGGCCTTTCCTCCAGCCGCTTCAACTACAAAGAAGACGAAAAAGCATGAGGGTGTTTATTTTATTTTATTGTTGGTTTTTTCAAGTCAGGGTTTCTCTGCGGCTTTGAAGCCTGTCCTGGAACTAGCTCTTGTAGACCAGGCTGGCCTCGAACTCACAGAGATCCACCTGCCTCTGCCTCCCGAGTGCTGGGATTAAAGGCATGCGCCACCACTGCCCACCTGCATGAAGGTGTTTATAATTACACCTTCATTCTGATGCAACAATAGAAAAAAAATCCCCATTTCCAGCACAATCAAGATACATTACAAGGTCTTACAATCACAATAGACAGATGGACTAACCCAACCACCAGGGGCACTGCAGACTCCAAGCATCAACACAGTGCACACACATACATGCAGGTAAAAACACTAATGCAATAAAATAAACACATCTAAAAATAAAATGTTCACCCTGTTGTGGGAGGTCCTTCTGTCTATGTGTCGCTTTTATTGGTTAATGAATAAGGAAACTGGATTGGCCTATAGCATGGGAGGAGGAAGGCAGAGTCAGAGAGAAGCCATGGAGCTGCTGGGGATAGATGCTGTGAACTTTACCTGGTAAGCCACAGCCACATGGCAATATAAAGATTAATAGAAATGGGTCAAATTAATATAAGAGTGTAGTAGGAAGAAAGGGCCTGCTTTTCATCCTGGCCACGTGGCCAGCTTATACCCGAAATAACCACACAGAAACCGTATTAATTAAATTACTGCCTGGCCCATTATCTCTAGCCTCTTATTGGCTAACTCTCACATCTTGATTCAACCCATTTCTAACAATCTGTATGTTACCATGAGGTTGTGGCTTACCAGGAAAGATTCAGCATGTCTGACTCTGGCATCTCCATGGCGGTTCTCTCTCTCTGCTTTCCTCCTCCCAGAACTGAGTTCTGTCTTCTCCACCTACCTAAGTTCTGCCTTATCAGGCCAAGCAGTTTCTTTATTGATTAGCCAATAATTAATAAACAATAAACCAATAAACAGAAAGACCTCCTACACCATAAGAGTTAGCCAATAAGAAACTAGAGCTAATGGGCCAAGCAGTGATTTAATTAATACAATTTCTGAGGGATTGTTTTAGGTCTAAACTAGCCGGACAGCCAGAAACCAACAAGCAGCTTCCTTGCAACAGTTTGGCACAGCAATGTGGTGGACTAAATCCATGTAAAACCCAAAAAAGCTTGAAAAGGAATTCTAGACACAGAAAAACAAAGTTTAGCCTCACTTTTTTTCAGCTGGCGGCGTGTTGCCGCTCCCTGAAGGGAGGTTTTCCTGATGCACTGGTAGCAGAAAAAAGCTACCTTTTCAATAAGGCAGCTTCCTGGGCTGTACTGCCAATGCAAACTCCAGCTATGGAGCACTTGAATGGCATTTGTGGGCCCCGTTGTTTGTGTGCCCACTCAGGGTTGGAAGGAAAGTAGCTGAGACCAGCTCAGCACCCCCACCTGGGCAGGCCAGGAACTCAGAGACCCGCTTGCCTCTGGCTCCCGAGTGCTGGGATTAAAATGTGCACCACCATTTATTTACTTTATTTTATTGCACGTGCACATGCTATAGCTTGCAGAAAGCCAGTTGTCTCCACAGTGTGGGTGTGGGGATCTAGCTCATGTTGTCGGGCTTGGCAGCAAGCACCTTTCTTTACCTGCTGAGCATCTCACCAGCCCTAAACACAATTATTCTAGAGTAACTTTCAAACAGAGAACACTAAACCCTACAGCAAACTATGTACTGAGACCACGGGAAGAGCAGTCCGTGCAACGGCAGTCGCCACACTCACTTTCTTCAGCAGCAGTGTAGATTGTGCCTGGGAGTTTCGGGTGTGTCTGGGTGGTTTTTGCAGCGATTACAATATTTGCTCCATCCTTCGCTGCTTTCAACGCAATAGCTTTGCCAATGCCTCGGCTTGCACCCGTGATAAAAATCGTGCATCCCGCTAGCTTCCTAAACAGAGAAAAGGTGACTTTATTAGAAACTTCACTGCTTTATCTATACCAGCTTACACACATTTTTGTGATTTACTGATTACCCCCAACCCACCTGACAAATTAGAACCCTTCTATATTTCCACTGGACACGACTGATAAATTATTTATGACAATTGCAGTTGGCCAGTCTTAACTGAGATCTGACAAACACAATCTGCTCAAACACAAAGTAAATCTTAAAAGAATTACAGAGTATGAGGTAACAGGTAAGTGTGCCATACCCAGCTCTTGTACAGGGGAGCTGGAGATTTCAATCAAGGTCCTCAGGCTTACCCAGCAGACCCTTTGCCCACGGACTCATCCACCAGTCTAGATTTTGTTTTGCTGTTGTTTGGAGACAGAGTCTCATGCAGCACAGTCTGGCCTTGGGCCCCTAGTCCTGCTTCTACCTTCCAAGTGCTGGGATACAGGCAGGGAGCACTATGCACGTCAACAAGGCTTATTTGTGAGTGACAGGTTCACACATAAAGTTTTATCCTTCACATTCACAACACATGATCTACAAATCATGTCTACAAATAGTAGCTAGAGTGGAAAAACCAAATATGGATTAAGTAGTGAAGGATGAATATAAGTGGTTTACCACACAATGGAATAGTGCTCAGCAACAAAATGCAATGAATTACCAAGCTGTGCCACAGTATGGACAAACCATCTACTCACACTGACCATAGTATATGACATGGACAGAGAAATCAAACTGTAGAGACCCAAGCCCAGCAGCTGCCTGGAGAGGGAGGGAGAGGGTTTGGGAGCCAACAGCTGAAGGCTAGGAACTTCTTTCTGGGATGGTAGAGGTTTTAAATTGATTGTGGTGACTTTTTTCCTCCGGAGATACAGAACTACTGACTGATTGATGTAAGAATTACATCTCAGTACAGCTGTTAAGCAAACTTAGAAGGAGCAAGAACAGGCTGACTAGAAAAAGCCCTGATTCAAACACCCTGATATCCCTAGCTCCCACTTCTCTACACCTCCTACCTTCACACTGACTTTTCTACTTACTCTGCTGTTAGGGTGACTACAAGAAAAAGTGATAATGAGACAGGTGATTTGTTAACGGAGAGACAAGCAGTGCCTGCCATCTGGGGGATTACACCGGAGTAGGACATCCTAGGTGCAGGCAGCAGCGGTTTGAAATAAGGAATAACCATATATTAGTTGCTTTTCTATTGCTGTGATAAAATACCATGACTAAAGCAACTTACAGAAGAGGGCTTACGGTGCCAGAAGGAGAGGAGCCTACCATCCAGCACAGCAGGCAGGCCTGCCAGCTCAACACCAACCTGGGAAGCTCACATCTCAACTACAAGCAGGAAGCAGAGAGCAAACTGGGAATGGCGGCCTGGCAGTGAAGCCTCAATGCTCACCCCAGTGACATACTTCCTTCAACAAGCCACAAATCCTAAACCTACTCAAATAGCATCACCAGCCCCATGGGGATCAAGTAGTCAGAATCTGAGCTTATGGAAAACAGTCATTCAAATCATCATAAATCACTTTGATGGGAAGAAACCAAAGTGAAGAAGTGGGAAAGAGACAAAAATGTAAAATACAGCAAACATACAAAAACCTTGAAAAATGAGCAAATAAAGCTTTAATAGAAACAAACAATGGGGGGGGCTGGAAAGACAGCTTAGGGGTTAAGAGCTCTGGCTGCTCTTCCAGAGGACCCAGGTTCAATTCCCAGCACTCACATGGTAGCTCACAACTGTCTGTAACTCCAGCTTCAGGGGGTCCAACACCTTTGTACTAATGCACATAAAATAAAGTTAAATAAATTGAAAAACAAACAAACAATGGTATACCTACTATCCAAGCCAAGAAACAGAGTAGAACCAAAGCCACCAGCCCACTTCTCCCTATTATGGTTTGTAAACAAAACATCCAGCTGGGCAGTGATGGCGCACGCCTTTAATCCCAGTACACAGGAGGCAGAGGAGAGGCAGAGGCAGAGGCAGAGGCAGAGGCAGAGGCAGGTGGATCTCTGTGAGTTTGAGTCCAGCCTGGGCAATGAAGTGAGTTCCTGGAAGCCAGAACTGTAACACAGAGAAATCCTATCTCGAAACAAACCAAAAAATGAAAAGGA